TCTATCCATTCGTTGGAGGAATTCAAGGATTGTTTTTTGGAAATTTTCCGAGCAATTCGGGAAGGAGAACGAGTAGTTCTATGCCTTTGACTCAGGAGGGGATTGTTATGGAATACAAGGAGAGATTTGAGCTATTATCAGGACACTTAAGAGAGATTTCTAAAGCAGAATTGGAGAGAAAATTTCATATATGGCATACATCCCAATATACGGGCATCACTCTTACTATTGAGACCGCGAGGATTGTGGGAGACAATGGAGCTAGCTCAAATGGTAGAGGACAATAATCAGATGAAGGTCAGAAGCAACATAGATGGAACACTGTACTTAACTGCTATAGTCATGACGATACCAAAATCTTAAATAGTGGAAGTCCAAAGGGAAGCTGTATGGGACACGACTAATGAACCACAATTGGGAGCAACACTCAAGCACCTTACGACGACAGTGGTTTGGGAGAAGCGAGTCAATGAGTTTTGTATTTGGTGTGATGAGAAGTTTACCACCAGAAGACACTGTTTTAAGGATTGAAAAATTGCAAATTCTCATAGTGCATGGCGAGGATGCAGAGAATGAATAAATAAAGACAGATGTGAGGGACGAATAGGAACACTCACTTTTTCCCACCTCATGGATAAGGTGTCTATGAGGGGGGAGTTCTGTTACGTTAGCACCTAGCCTAAGGGAAAATTTAACTTTTGTACGCTTAAGGGCAATTTAGTCTTTTATTATTATTATTAATGTTGGATATAAATAGGCTTGTTATGTCTAGGGTTAGATTTATACATGAGACCGAGTTGTCAGTCTTAAGTTTAGGGTAGATTTCCTCCCTCTCGAATTGTAAGAATTGGGAGAGATCACCTACCACTCAAATTGTATGTGTTTCTCTTTATATTCTTCTTGAGTTGCTTGAATTATTGAAGAAATCTTGTGTTTGTCTTTACTCTTTTGGAAAAAACGTATCAATTTTGACGTCATATTATAACATAATCATAATGTTTAGGCAGCTTTGAGGTGGTGATTAGGTGCCTTAACAAGCTTATGAAGCTTAGGTGCTCATTGGAATGGTTGAATATTATCCATCTCAATGATCTATATAAATCTATTGTTCTAATGGTAAGATTATATTATTATAAACTAATATGTGAAAATGAGGTTCAAGGCCGGTTGTCTTTATGCATAATTAATGGGCATCTTTCATCATTATGCTCTTAAGCTACTATCCTATATAAATATAAATATAAATATAAATAAATAAATATATATATATTAGAATGAAGAAAGAGAGGGATTAGAATAAAGAAAGAGAGGGAGAGAGAGAGTTAAATTATTGTCCATTTAAAATAAAAACCACCATGAATGAGTACTTTTGAATGAATAAGTTTTAATTTAACTAAAATTCATAAGTGTGTGGTAACACATTGAAGTCTAAACATCAATAGAGATATATGTTTTTTATTTAGTACAATGTTATAGTATTCATTAATAACTTTGCTGGCATCAAGAAATTTTTTGGTTGAGTTGAGGCTTATCTCGAACTTAGTTTTCTACATGAGAGAATGACTTATGAAATTTCCACAACCATGATTTACTGCAACAACGGAACATAACTATTGTTTCCCTATGAAGCTCTTCTTAACTAATCATGTTTAGATGTTTTGAGTAGTTGTTGGTGGAGTTTTATCACCCTCTAACAAGTAGTCAAGGAGAAATGCCTAGAAAAGCTTTAAAGCGTGGGCACAAATGGATCCTCCAAAAATAACATAATTATAGTCATCTTAAACACGATTACTTGTACAGTAGGATATCACTAGTTTTAAAGTTCTCTAGACCTATCTTTTTTTGTGCATTAAGTAACATGTCGATAGGTTTCTTCTTTGCTCCTTAATTAGGGAATTAAAAGATAGGTTAATATGTATATCTTCCTACATTTTTATGTTGCTAAAATGCTGTTATCCATCACATGTTAATAGATGGGCAAAAGAAAAGAAAAAAAATGCAACTTTAGAACAAAAATAGATTTTTTTTGGGAAGTTTCAGCACTTTATCAGAGGAATTATGGTTTGGAATGCCTATTGGACATGGGAAAAAAACAATGGACAAGATAAACTTCTCTCTAAAACTTGATGCGAAGAAATAAGCTAAAATTGACTTCATTAAAAGCCAAAATTAACAACTAAAAATGGAAAAAGTGATTTAAATCATTATCACCTTTTCTTGTCCCAAAGCTTGCATGTGGTTTCTATTCTTACGGAAAATGCATTCATACTACCTCAGAAAGTTCAAAAGTTTAAGCCAAAATTTCTCAAACATGTTTTGACACGTAAGAAATAGTTCTCCAAAACATCAAAATTTTTTGAAGTCCCGAGAATTCATCTTTCATCGAGATTCATTGTGATATTGTTACTTTATAGCTAAATTGCCACTATTTTTCAAAAAATTCCAATTATTCAAAGAATTTCAGAAAAAATATTAAAGCCTCATAGCGTCTTTCTTTCATAGATCATATTCCCAATAATTTACTTTCAATAATTGCATATTTTTTCAGATGGTTTTAAAATATAAAAATTAAGAAAAAAGTGTAATTTTTAATAATAAATTAAATTGTACTTTTCTTAGTTTAGGATATTCAGTCTATGTTGAATAACCTAAATTAAGAAAAGTACACTTTAATTTTCATTCTTAATTTGTTTTATTTTAACTAAATTCTTACTCATTTCTTTGCTTGACTAGTTTATAAATATAATATTCAGCATTCTTAATATCTAATCAATTATAAAAATTATTGAAAGTGATTCTTAACATATCAAATTATTCACTTAGATTCCTTACGTGCTAGTTTATTTTTTTTCAAATTCTCTAAGCTTTTATGTCTAAACTAATTTGTATTACAATTTTTATTTTATTTTTTATCTTTTCTTGCACATTGTTATTTCACCGCCAATTATCTTTACTAATATTTTTTTAAAATTTTCCAGGCATATCTTTGGTAACCTGCTTAATAGTATTTATTATTTTATCAAATATAGTACTAGCCTTTCTTGAACTTTACTATTTAAAATAATTTTATTTGTATCTTTTAAGTGCTCATTTTTTTATAATAATATGACATTGTATGTTTCTTCTTTCAACCTTTCAACTTAAAATTCAAAATCAATATTTGATACTGTGTATTCAGATTTTTTCTTAAAATGACCATAAAATTTTTTCAATCTCGATGATTTATTTTTCTCTCAAGAAAATAATCAATGTATTTTATTAGATCTACACTTATAAGCTAAAGCAAAACTTAATTTATAAGCTATCAATCTTTATAATATCGATGTTGGTAGAGCAAAACTTAATATAATATGTTTATCTATTTTTTTTAAATAAAATATTAGCAATAATAAATTTATAAGCTAAAGCAAAACTTAATATAATTCTATCTTCTTTATTTGTCACCTAAAATTTTATCCACGGTTAATACTTCTAAAATCTTTCATCACTCTACCAACATGTCAATTTAAATTTTTTCCAGTAAAAATTATTTCATCCATAGGAATTTGTTATATTAATTCTTCCATGTCAATCCCTTTTTTTTATCATATAGTCAAAATTCTTTGGGAGCATAAACACTTATAACATAAAGAATCTTAGTAATAATAATAATTTTTAAGTTTATAATTTTATGTTAAATTTTATTAATTTTCACAACATTATTTTTCAAAATCTTATGTATAATTATAATTACATCATTTGCAGTACGACTTTTACCAAAATACGAAAGTTTAAACTCTAAGCTATCAATCTCCATAGTTTTTTTTACAACCCATTTAGTTTTATTAATGGATAATATATTTATCTTCATATGAACTATAATAACTACTAATTCAATTAATTTATCCGTGAGTGTACTTGCATTCGAAGTTTTCTGTTATAATATTATTAGCTTCATGGACTAACCTTTATCCCGTATCAGTCCATAATATGAAAATTTTTGCTTATAAGTCTTGACTTATAGATATCAATATTGCTATGTATGCATCACCCGAGCGTTGACTGTGCAAGTATAGCAATCATTTGCCAGTCTTAAAGCGCACACAAATTGAAGAAAGGAAGTTAGCCATTCGTGAAGGTGGGCAAAATCAAGAGCCAAGAAAAATAGGAAGTTAGCCATTCGTGAAGGTGGGCAAAATCAAAATCAATATTATTCTTTTTCTATATTTACATAAATAATAAACCTTGACTTCAATTATTATAATGTATGACTAGCTGATATTGGCTTAATAGACTAATATATACATGGCTTTAGTGCATGCTTATCGGTTTTTAAGAAACCAAGTTTTAGATTTAAGTTTGAAGATTGTGCGAGTAATAGAGCAATTTTTGGCTTTGTCTGATCTTTGATTTGAGACTAGATCAAGTGGACTTGGCTTGAAATCTGTTTAACATATAAATAATACACATACATTTATAATAACACATTCTTATTTTCTTAACACATTTTTTAATTGAGTTACTTTAATATTTAATATATACATATATGTGCAAATATGCATGTGTTTATCTTTCATTTAATCATATTCGATAATGAACAATCCTAGAAACCATTTAGAGCTGTTTATTGTTTGGACTAACCTTTTGCTTGCTTTGTCTTTGAATCACACGCCTTATTAGAAGAAATCCATGTTTAATATAGGCCGAAGTAGTCTGCTAAAATAGACCTAGGGATAACAATTTTAGCCCCCATTAAAAGAGTATCAGGACTAAATTGACATATTTATAGCATTTGGGACTAAAATGGCTCCCGACAAAGAGTAATGAGACTAATTTAACTCTTTTTTGTTTAAAAAAATCGACCTTGAGTCTTCATGATAATCAATTTTTAAAAATTCTTCTTGCAGACAAACCCAAAGCAGTTGAAACTTTGTTTGTTTCTCTTTTGCAATTTTGGTTTTTTGTGTAATAATTGATATTGTAGACTGATTTACAGATTTTTTTTTCTTTTTACACTTTAGCATGTCGAACACTATTGAGCGTTACAAGAAACATGTCAAAGATGTGATCGAGAATAGCAGATCAACTGAGCAAAATATTCAGGTACGAATGATCTCTGTGTCTTTATCCTAATGTTTCCTGACCACCTTTTAATTTTGTAGTTTGGAGCATTTGCATACATACCACACAATTCATATGTATTTACATATCAAATACATAAACATTTTATATTTACATGCATACTTCTCAGATCTGTAATATTAAATCAAGAATACTATCATCACTACCTTTATAGAAGTGGAACACACCTTTTGATGCATAGGCTTATGTCACCAAGCTGTTTTAAATGTAAAAATCAAATTTTGGAGTTTAGATATGAAAATACATAAGAAAGTTGTGGTATTTATATAAATTTCCCAAATTTTATATGCAAATAATAAGGATATCATCTTAAGGTTAGTATACTGATCTTTTCCATCAGCTTTTTTGGGCTCTTATTCTTTCTTTGGGAACATAGAGTAAGAATCCGCTTTCATCTGCCAACTTGTGATCTGTTTGTTGGTAAATTTTGGCATATATTAGCAATTAATCAGTTCTCATTTAAGATTTTAAGCTTAATTTCTACGTAAAATTACTCATCTTGATCCATATTCCCTTAAAGAAGGAAGCTGAATGCAGAATTAAAAAAAAAAAATCATTTTTTTGCTAAATCAACAATATTGATACCCTCTGGTTTGGGATTTTGAGATGACCGTTGGCAATGTGATTTTTTGAAATGCAGCCCTCGAAGAAGGATGCAGAAGATATGGCAAGGAAGATCGAGCTCCTCAATGTTTCGAAGCGGTGAAAATCGATCGAAAAATTTTCTTTTCTTTTCATTTTATGCAAGAAAAGGAAGCTGGATTAATATATGTGGATCATGAAAACTTAAGAGAAGGATTGTTGATGCAGGAAGCTAATGGGGGAAAGCCTCGAATCCTGTTCTGTGGAAGAGCTCCATGAACTTGAGAGTCAGCTCGAGCAGGGCCTAACCAGAGTTAAGAGAAGAAAGGTTGATGATGGTGATATTGCATTAATTCAATAAGCATTTACAGAAAAAAAAATGTTTTTTTTTGTTTTTACATCATAATCCTCATATTTTTCAGAACCATGTTCTAAAGGAGCAGATAACGCAACTTAAAGAAAGGGTAAGTTTTTTATCTTCTTTTAGATACAATGGATAGAACAAATGTAAATAACCTCCATTTCCTTGCAGGAGAGGGAGCTACAAGAAGAGCATGATTTGCTTCAAAAGCAAGCGGATTTCTTAGCTTCATCATTGGTGAGAGTTCATCTTTCAACCACACGGTTCTTTTGTCGAAACTATATGTAATCTCAGTTGTTGGATTCATATATTCTAGGGGCATGACTGAGTTAAGTCGACTTGTGCGCCAGTGCGGGCTCAGCTCCATGAGCTAACGAGCCAAAGCTCAAGCCAAGCCTGACTTGACTCGTTAGCTTTCAAACCAGCTCATTTAAAAAAATCATAATAAAATAAAACATACTTGAAGTATATTAAAGTTCAAAACTTTTTATATAAATTATTAAAAATATTTAAAAATTTATATTTTTATTTTTCATCTAAGTGATTTCTTTTTATATATCACCTAATCGCCCATCCTGAATTAATATTACTTCCTTTCTTTGATAATAAAGAAATGAACTCATGAGTTGTATCATATTCGATTAATTAATCAAGCTCGAGTTCAAGCCGGGATTGGCTTGCGCTCAAGTCGTTTCGTTTACATCCCTAGTAAATTCTTTCTTCTTCTTCTTCTCTGTCTTCTTCATTTTATTTAATTAATTTATTACCTTGAAGCAGAGGAAGCCTGAGGTAGCCGTAGAAGCTCTTCAGGAAGTTGTTCCTGAAGGGGATAACCAGCACAAGGATGTAGAGACAGAACTGTACATCGGATGGCCTGCAGGGGGAAGCACCCAACAACTTTTGAAAAGGTGACCGTTACATCTCCATAAATGTTTTACCCAAAATGCAAAATTTTAACTCAAATTTGTAATATATAATTTGCATTCTCATCCAATTCCTTTGTAATCAACTAACAGAAAGATTGAGGTAAAGAATAATGTTAAGTGTAGACTGATTGCAGAAGCAAGGTTCCAACGGCTATGGCTGCTTCCTGCAACTCTGTAAGGGCACAGAAGTAATTTTCACAAGAATTATTTAAAATTTATAAAACTAAGCAATTTTATTAAATAAATGACGGATCGTTGCATGCTGATGTTGCAGGCAATTATAATTATTAGCTAAAAGCAAAATAGCTATTTAGACTATTGTTGTGTCTCAAAATGATATGAATTATATTGTTAAAAATAATCCAGTTCGGGGCAATTACATACAGGTCACCTGAAAATTTGGTATTTACAAATCAAGCATTCTTTCATCTATTTTTTAAATTCTCATTGTATAGCTCAAAAATATTGTTGGGTCGAAGGGATTATTGTTGCCAAGAACAAGTCAGCAGGTACGTACCTGTTGAGCCAGCCATCTTCGTTTACGCTCCGCTTTTTTCACGCGGTGCGGCCCCAAACCGCTAATATTTCTCGTTTGGCTCCTAGCTTTGCGGCCGAATGAAGCTAAAGCGGGCGGAAAGCCGGTCGCGAGACCAGCTTTCCCCTCGTTAATGTTCCACATTGCCCCCGTTTTTGGCGCAAACCAGCCCTCTGTCCTAGCGTTCAGTCTGCTGTTCCCGTGTCGTCTCGCCATCTCGCCTGGTATTCCCGACCCCACGCGTTCTTCTTCCGGACCCCGTTCTTCTTCCTGACCCTGCGCCTTCTTCTTCCTGACCCTGCGCCTTCTTCTTTCCTGACCCCGTTCTTCCCGACCCCGCAGCGGTTCTGGTTCGAAAAGAAGCAGAGCAGCTGAAGTTCACAATTTATCGGAAAATGTGGCAATTTTGTTTACTGGTTTCCTGTTTTTGGTTTTTCTTTGATTTTTTAATCCCTTCGAGCTTCATACTTCGTTGTCAGAGGAGGAGTAAAATAAATGAGAAGATGAGAGCATTGCAGAATCTGATTCCTAATTCTAACAAGGTTGGTAGTTGCTTTTAGATTTGTTTTTGGAAATGTTTTGTTTGGCTATATTTGCTTGATTTTTCTGATTTTTTTTTCCTTAGTTATGTGAATCGTGAGTAGTGATCCCTAAGCTTATTCTTTAAGTGGATTGAAATGTAATTTTTAACTGTGATTGTATTAAATATTTTAATGCATTAAAATTTCACCTAAACCTTCTGTTATGTAGGTACAGTAATGCTAATACTGTTTTCTGATTATGCCTTAGCCATATTAAGCATTTATTTATACTTGCTATTGGATAATCCCAATAATTGTGATTTTATTATCTTTCCATATAATGACAACATTGCAGATCAAATAAATCCTCCAAAGAGTCTTTTATGATTTGATAGAAACTTAATTCATTTGTCACCGCCTGAACTTTATAATTAATAATCATCTTATTAATTGCTATTTTATTAGTTTTAGACTTTTTTTTTGCACTCTAGATATTCACTACGAAGTGAAGTATGTATTTGTAATTCTGTATTGTTTTTAAATAAACTGTTGCCTTAAAAGTATTAAATTTATGATTTTCACAGTTCTGTTAAATACAACATTTCAAAACAGGGGCAAAATGATTATTTATGCAGAGATAACTACCTTACAACTATTTTCACACAGCTACCCCAAACAGATAGCCATCTTCTTCACAACAGCTTCCCCACAGCTGCTTTCTGGGGCAGTGTAGCTGCAGATGAAAAACTTAGAAGCTGCAGCTGCGCCAAACAAAGCCTTAATCGGTTGGCTACCTGGGCCGACCATAAGGAGTTTAGCTGGTCGACCTTCTGGGATGGCTAAACGCTAACCATCCGACTACCTTGGTCGGCCAACCCCTATCAGCCGATCATTTGGGCCGGCCAACACATGCTAGTCAGCCACCTTGGCCTGTCAAGCCCCAATCGACCACCACAAATTGGCAATGTTAGCCGACCACTATTTGCTGACCGGGCACTACATGTCAGCCAACCACGTTCCTGTTGGCCGACCACTAGTGCTAGTCACCCAATGTCGATGATTCCAATGACGAATCATCCAACGACAAGAAAGCTTCAGGACAATTGATCCGAGCAAGAAAAAGGTTGGAGTGCCTCTTGCAACCAACCAAAAAGCAAGAACATAAATGTAATCTCCTCCATCCCCCCTCATTTGTCTATATAAATAGTAGAATCTTAGCATGTATTAAGGGTCCTTGGGCTCTCTTCTTTTTCAATCTCCAATGTAGGGAGATCTCTCTCCCTTCCCCTTTCTTGTAACTTTTATTTTTTAAGGAATAATAAGGACCAAAGAGCTCGGGAACACCTTTCTTTGCCCTTTGTTGGGGCAAGTCTCTTCCTCTTTTTCCTTCTCTCTGGGTTCATGCTATATTCCTTGGGCACAATCCAAAGGAGATATTTGAATTCAACATCCTAAAAGGTGTGGTGAGTGTGGATCGTGTCGTCAACAAAAAGATGAGTATTCCGGGTTGGAGAAAGCACAAAAAAGAGAAACAAGAAGAATAAAAAGAAGATAAGAGGAAGATGGCAAAAAGTAAATGGACAAGTGAAAAATGATAAAAGTGACAAGATAAAAGCAAAAGATAAAGTAAAAAAAAAACAAAAAAAGATAAAGTAAGAAGTAGAAGGAAAAATCTCTCTCTCACTCTAAGAGAAAGACGATCCGAGGAAAAAAAAAGATAAACATCTCTCCATCAAAGCCTCTCCTCCGGGATGAGCAAATCAAATATTCCTCCATTGAAGCATCCCCTCATTAAAGCTCTCCTCCGGGATGATCAACCAAAATAACCTTAAGAAACCTTTAGAACTTATTTTGAAGCTTGATTCAGAAAAAGCTATGAAGGTGGGTTCTTTCCAAGAGCAACAAGATCCACAAAAAGTCCGACACAAATCAACCCACCAAGCAGTTACCTCTACGTAGGAAGCGACAAGATGGCCTAAGACCTGACGAAAGGTGTGGCCCGCTGAAGGTGATGTTCCAAGAAGAATAAAAGAGATGGGCAAGGGGTGAGACTTGAGTTGGGAAACATTTTTATATCTAAAAATCTTAAGAAGAATACTTAACTGATTATGCTCTAAAGTAGGGGTGTAAACGAATCGAACACGAACGAACAAAGTTTGTGTTCGTGTTCGGTTCGTTTAAAATTTAGTTTATTTGAGATAAGCTCGTGTTCGTTTCTTAACGAACGAGCCGAACACGAACCGAACACGAGTTGTTCGCGAACGACGAGCCAATTTGACATCTCTAATATTAATATATAAAAATAATATTATATATTAATTATATAACTTATATTATATAAATATATAATATCTATATTAGTATATTACTACTATAGTATATTAATATATTATTATTATTATTTTATTATATATTATAATTTATAAAATTTAATGTTTTAAAATATAATAAATTTTTTATATATAATTATTTTATATTATTTTATATTTCAAACAATAACGATTCGAACAAGAACGAACGAATCACTGTTCGTGTTTGGTTCGTTTAACTAACCGAACGAAAAAAATTTGTTCGCGTTTGTCTCGTTTACTTATCGAACGAATCGAACACGAACTCATTGACGAACCGAACACGAACTATTCGCGAACAACGAGCTTTTTTGACGGCCCTACTCTAAAGAAATTGACTCACCGAAGGCTAGCAAAAGGATTGCTAAAAGACAAAGTAAAGCAAAAGGCTAAGGAAAGAATGTTTCTGTATTTAGGAGTTTTTCATTTTTATTTTAGCTTCGCCTCCAAGAAGTGAATACTCGTGGGCTTCATGTATAGATCGAAGACATGCAAGCAGCTACACTCAGTTGGTCGACCACCCTGGTTGGCCATCATCACTCAGTCGGTCGACCACCATAGGTCGATCTAAAGGAGTCCAGTCGGCCGGCCAACACTTGCTAGCTGGCCATATTGGTCAGCGAACCCCCAATCGACCAAACATTTGGGTCGGCCAACACAAACTGGTAGGTCACTTGGGCTGGCCAAGGCCGACCACCACCAACCGGCCTCTTAGACCAACCACTATTGTCAGCTGGCCACTTGGGTTGGCTACTACCTATTGATCAAACACCTCGGTCAGAAAACTCCAGGTTGGTCGGATGGCCACCATGGCTTGCCACTCAACACCAACTAGTCCAGCGACAAGAAAGCTCCAGGACAACAGATCCAGGCAAGAAAAAGTAATGTATTTTTCATCTTCCCCCTCATTTCTCTCTATAAATAGAAGGATCTTAGCATGTATTAAGGTTCATTGGGTTCTCGTTTCTCTAAACCCCTCATATAGGGATATCTATCTTCCCTTCCCCTATCTCTTGTAACATTTATTTTTAAAAAATAGAAGAAACCAAAGAGCCCGTAAATACCTCTCTTTGCCCCCCGGAGCAAGTTTCCATCTTTTTCTCTCCCTCTCTTTCATCTTCCCTCGAGTTTCATACTCTATTCCTTGGTCACGATTCAAAGGACAGATTTGGATTCAACATTCAATAAAACATCAAAGTTCATGATAAAACCCATACGGAAATAACTTATTTTTATCAAATTATGAATAGTTTGATCATGACATGCGAAGATGCATCGGTTTGATAGTTCAAAAATCACATATACATTTGATTTATAAATATCAATGTTTCGAGTGGTCTGAATTTAATGTAGCATCCAAAGTCTAAACTTAAATTTTTACTTGCATTTCACTTTCCATGCCATGAAATGTGCATCACACATTTTACAAATTAAAAAAGATGTTATTTTCGGTGAGAGGCGAAATATTTAATTTGTATTAATACATGAGTTGGTGGTATGTATATAATAAAGAAATTGTATGCTTCTGCTACTCATAATAAACTAATGATCTATTAATGAATATAAATAATTATGATGATGTATAAGACAAAATAAATAGATTTTTAACTCCAATAAAATCCAAAGATAATAGCGTTAAATTTTGACATGTCAACGGTTTGATCGTAAAATTCGCTCCGCATTTTTTAAAAAAATTATTAGGTGCAGCGTCTGCACCTGCGGACAACCAGAGGAGGCAAGGAGAGGGAGTGGGATAGAGGGAAAATATTTGCGTACGTAAGACGTGCGCAACGCAGAGTTGCGTACTTCCGGAGGCTACTCAGAGGGTTTAGGGAGGTTATATTTGCGTTATACCCCTCTATAATCTCCTTGTAATCTACTTGTAACTTACAAATAAGTTCTGCGCTTCTGTAGTTCCATGGGTACAAGTAAGTTACAAGAATGTTATAGGGGGTATAACCCAG